CCACGGCGGCGCCATCATCCGAAACGCAGGCGGCGTCCTTCTGGGTGGGCATCGACGGGGCGACATCCGGCGACGCGATCTGGCAAGCGGGCGTGGACATCTACGTGCAAAACGGGCAGCCTTCCTTCGCCGGCTGGTACGAGTGGTATCCGGCCAACTCGATGGATATCGACCTCGAGTTCCATTTCGGGGACGTGGTCTTCGCCAGCGTCGAGTCGACGTCGAGCAGTGAGGGCGTGGCGGTGATCGAGAACTTGACTACGGGGAAGAATGTCACGGTTACTGCTTCTGCTCCGGCGGCGACTGCGACTTTGACGGGTCAGAATGCGGAGTGGATTCTGGAGGATTTGGCGGTCGATGGTGATGGATTGACGTTTGTGGATTTCGGGGAGGCTACTTTTACGGGATGTGTTGCGAGGCCGGTGGGAAGGAGTATGGGCTGGATGGATCGGCGCTGTATGCGGTTCAGGATAGTTCCAGCAATACTGTTCAGGCTGTTCCGACTGTTGTTAGTGATTCGGAGTTGAAGGTTACGTATCAGTGATTGCGTGGAGGGGGTGCAGTTCTGTGTTGAGATATCTAACGGCTTGTCTGATTCAACGAGTGTATTAATATGTCTGATTGAGCCCAGATTAAGTTCATATGATTGCCAAAGTCTCCAAGCATAGTACAGGATGCAAGAAACTGAACATACCCGGTAGTGCTAGTTAGGTACTGTGACCTACCATTTCCAAGTTATCAAAAGGGTAGAGTACCAGCCCTAAGTCGAATGTTCCCTAGATACACAGGGTGATACCACCCTATAAAACCCAAACCATTTCCCCCATTGCAGCACTGCGAGTTCGGGGTATAACTAACTAAAACCTTGTATATAACACTTCGAAATAAGAGTAAGCACTAGTATATCGCAAGGCAGCCGCTTAACCGGAGGTAGTATAGTCCTTCTCAACGGAGTGTTGCCCTGGCCACTCGGACTTCGTCGCTCGATATCTTGACAAGTCTCCAAGCACTGCCGGGTTAGTTTACGCTAATTTCAGGTTCGCAAGGATCAACGCTGTGCGATGGCTCAGTCAAAGGCCTAGTTGCCGAGTCGACGGGGTCTTCAGCATCGGGAGACTATTCATGTCTGTAGTGTAGCTGTTGATTTCCCCGAAGCAATCTGATTCGTATTAAACGTAGTATCATCTTCGGTCCGACCGTAGCGATGTAGGCTATCTTGTATATTAGACACCTTCCATAATTAAACCTACCTGCGACTCAGCCTTGTCGAAGCTGAAGGGGTATTGTTAACGGTGGGTATGCCAAGGTCGGATGCTCTGGATTTGAAACTTCTGTGTAAGTTGACTGCAGGTGGCTTCTTGAATAGTGGAGATGATTGGGTACTAAAAATTGCAGGTATGGGGAAAAGTCAATAGGGAGTGATGGGAGTATTAGTAGTGGGAAATACGGGGGCGAGATGGGGAGGAATGGGGAGAAATGGGGAGAAATGGGGCGAAATGGGGAGAAATGGACAGAGCAGAATGGACAGAATGGACAGAATGGACAGAGATGGACAGAGATGGAGACTATCTTGATTGGCTAATGATGGGGTACTAAAACTAAAATACAATGGGCTTATCTGGATTTGGTTAGATACAAATGAAGGAGAAGAGATGATAATGATATTGATCTTGGAGGATGGGCAAGGATAGCAAGATTCGAAAATGGATAGTGATCGGCGAAGATCCTGTGCGATCAATGACCCAAAAGTGTAGCGTATAAGGAGGACGAAGAGTCTGCGACACCCGTATTATTCTGAATCCGTTCGTCGTACCTGTTACTCGCTATATTTGCCTAATTCTTCTACCAATCCCTTCTTTTGGGCAGTATCCCGATTTGTATTTACTACTGGAATGGAGATTGCTCCGGATTTCACTGTCTGCGAACGATTGCCAAACCTGAAATGCACCCGGTGTCGAATTGATACGAAGAAAGTACGGTAATTCGTGCAAGAACTACTATTTCACTTTCCATACATCTGGTTGTCGGCAGATACTGACGACAGCTACATTAGGAGTGTGCCAAGTGCCATAACATTTGTACCGCTAGTAAGACTGCCGAGAAACGGAAGCAGTTGCATCAAAACACTCCTCCAAGACAGTTACTACCGGACAGGAAAGGACAAGACCAACCAGGGTTTCAGCTGGCGGTGCATGAGATTCAACAGTCCAAGGGAGCGACACCGGGGAAGGCGACTATTGCAGTCTCTTCAAACCCAAAATGTGCACGATACTTTGCTACGCTGAGGGAAGCTCATTGGAAGTATTTCGGCCTTTCTTCATTGTGCCGGCCCACGCTCGACCTAACCGGTTTGTTTATAGAGCTGGAGACTTCTAAAGCCAATACTGTCTACTGTACTTTGCAATCTCGTATTGCTATGGTTGAGCTTGGCCAACAGTATATGACTTCACTCGAAGATGGAGTCTCAAGGGGGTGGAGCGAGGAGGCTGTCAGAGCGTATATTTCTCGGAAGGTCATGCTCGATCTTGGAATGTTAGATGAAGGAACAGATGTTCGAACCATGGAGGGTGAAATGCTCAAATTTATTGAGGAATTTGACAGAAGTATTGCCTGCGCATTGAGATGGCAAAAGCTTTATAACGAAATTGGTGTCCCCGAGGTCTTCCTCATTGGGGAAGAACCTGCTGTCAGCGACGACAGAGAGGAAGTTCCGCACCCTGATTTCCACTGTGACAGTGACGAAGAATGTCACTCTCTGCTTAATCGACTTCTGTTGCCCACTCTGGCGCTGAAGGAGACTTGCTTGAAGCTCAGTGGAGTGGTGGACATGATTCAGCGTTTACGAGGGCTGGATCAATTAGCGGTGCAGAGGATATTTCTGGCTGAAGAGCTCGAGCGACGCGTCACAAACGTCCTGGGAGACACTGCAAAGCCATATAAGAACCCTGAAGGCGATTTCGACTGTTCCAATGATGACGATGACGAGAGCATGCCTGACATAGAGGCATGCTAAGACTCAAACACGGCAATACTGACTTGCCTTGAAGCATCGGCTTGTCTCGAATGTGGTGAATTCTTGTGGGAGCCTCCTTCGTAGATTTCTACAGTTATACTGGTCCCCCTAGTAGGGGCGAGTCGCTTCCAGAGACTCTTTTGGCAGAATGGCTGTTCAGCTTAGTGGTGGAAAAAAGACCGAGGTTGAAGAATTGCGTGTATCTAGTTTAGCCAAGGAGTCTTCTTTTTCACCTAATCCGTTATTTTACTCTTGTTTTATTGTTCCTCGAGCTAATCGGACTGGGGTACGGCGATGGGAGGGCGTGAGGAGTTCCTTACATAGGAGACCTAATCCTTTGAGAGCCTTCGCTAGCATCAAGTGCGAAGGCCTCCATTTCCTCGGAAAGAGAACGTCTTTGGAGGGAATGAAGAATAAGTACGGCTTTCTATGGTCCTGTAAGTAATCCTTAGTTACACCGATATTGGGTACTGCCCTACTTGTGCTTCTTTGTTGTCTCCTTTGTTGCTTGGGCCAAGACATGACCTGGAAATAACACAAAAACCCCTCACATCTTCTATATAAGAGCTATCCTACTAAATGAAGATTAGATCTTGCATATTCATCATTATATCATCTGCTTCGAAGTCTCAGTTTAAACCAGAGTTTGTTTCCGCGACATGGACAACAGCAAGCTTCAGGCCAAGGGACTCCTTTACAGTCTCAGAGAAACCCTACCTTGGCTCCTTGCGAGGGCAACATTGAGGGCTACAGTGAACGGAACAGTTAAGATGTAAGCTAATTTCTTAACTCCACCCTTGGCTGTGTTTGTTAGATTGACAGTGCATATAGTATATCCCCGGAGAGTCACCCTTCCAAAGCCCCTCCGGCGACAATCTGATGCAGAAGTGGTCTACATCTGCAGGATACATGCGCTATTCGAAGACTTTACTGGACTGATCTGCCGATATAGAATAATGACCTAAGGAATAGACTCCACGAGAAAGCCTGTTCAAGGCCGGGCGCAGCTCACTGACAGAGCGGCAGTTGAAGCTTTGGCTAGGCGACTTGACCTGCATTCTCGACAGGTCAGATGATCAGCTCACAGGGTGAGAATGGCTCAAGATGAGGCGTGAGAACCAACTCTGATTCCAAGGCAAGAAACGTGTGGATGTTAGATAACTCATGATGTCACCGTTTGGGTTGACAGCCCTGAGAACCCGTGGGTATTAAAAGATGCTGATATTATCTTAGCAAGGATTACCCACGCCAAAGGCGTTGGGTATCAGAGCAAGTCCTCAGGCGGATGGATTTGACGCGGCACCTCCAATGAATAACGTTCGGTCATTACCGCTTACCGGCGCATAGGAACGGCCGTTATAGGGCAATGCAATCAGGTGATAGATGAAAACGATGGCTAGGACGTAGGGCAGTATCCAATATATAAGATATCCGGATAGCCCAACATCGAGTTTCCATCAGGTTTCAAGCAATAGTTGGGCAGTCTTGATCCAGCACCTTGTTGCGACCATGATGATTGATTTGCCTCCACTATGCTCGCCTTATGTTGCCCACCGTCCACGTAGCGTGGCGCAGCCGCAGCCCTCACAAGGCGATTATGCGAACCTCTGTATTCAGGATACCCCCATAATGCCCGCATCCTCGCTGTATGTCTCAGTTGAAGTACAGCCTATGTTGACCTCAGTATCCTATATCATTTTGTTATGATGGTTTCCTGGAAAGAGAAAAGAAACAAGAGCGCTGTGAGAAGATTTCGAGGAACGATTCGACCTCAGAGAATCATCCCACCAAGTAAAGGTGAGCGAGGTACGATGCATGAACGAACGCCGAGGTAACACGAATTGTAGATCATGACCTCTTAAATACGGCTGCACATTCATCTGTTGTTTCTGTGTTTCCCGCTTGCTGTCAGTCGACAACACGGATTAGTCCGAGCATGCTGTGGTACCGGGCATGGCTAAATCGACGGGCCTCGCAGCTGTCATTGGATCTTGCAACGGCTTTGCCAGCTTTGACGGAGGTGAATGGGCTGATCGAAGGATCCAGTCTACTTAGAGCGTATCTTGGAATTGCGCGAATCATGAAAGAAGGTAAAGCTTCCAGGGTTGATGATATCGTGGCGCAACTGCAGTTGTCCCATGTATTCCGTGTGGTACCTGTGGAGCAGACATGCTTTCAGCGCGTGCTTGTTTTCACTATTTTAGGATGGCAGACAATGTTATGGGAGTCAACGTGGGACGCGACCAATCCTGCGCAGATGACAGTTGCACAATTGATGGTTGGTTATGAGAGTCGGACTTTTATGGCGTATACTCAGGATCATCGATGCGCTCGGCTCCCAATACATGAGTTCCTTCTTGGCTTCGGGTACTTACTCCCAACAAAAAGCACAGATTGCCAAAGTCCTGAGAGCTTTGTGACAGTTCATGTCAAGCAGTTCAATATGTCCCTTCTTGCAACCATTGGCGGGATTAAGATTAGGTGGATAGACACACTGGGCGCCCATCTGGAGTTTGATAACCGTACCAAAACCTTGTTCCTCTTTCGGTTTCCTTCGTTTTGCGCAGCAAATCTCGAGAAAGACTTATCAGGCGAGAAATGGGTGCGAGGAGTCATACATGGGTATGTATTTACTGTTCTCGCGCACACCGATTCCAGTGTCCAATGGCTTACGTCGCATTTTTCTGAAGCTGTACCGCCCCAGCTGGCGATCCTACCAACTGGGCCACCGCTGAAGATGTGACAAGCTTCCTATATGAAGTTCTCCTATCATATCGCCTGCTTTTCGGACTCTCAGCGAAGGGACGACAATTCTACCGATCCCTACGTCCATTCAGTGACCTTCCGCCTGACCAACATGATCCTCTTCTTGGGGAACTATGTGGCTCCCGCACTCTGACAACAATATCCATTGACCACCACGAAGACGTGTTTAGTCTTGTATCTGACTTCCCAATCCTCCACAGCCGATTTGAAGCCCTCAAAACGCATCTGGCATGCCAGAAGGCACGGGGCCTGATACAGTTATGGCGGGACAAACGAAGTACGGAAGCATGGTATACATTCTGGGCTGTTGTACTCATTGGAGGGGTCGGACTGTTCCTCTCATTCGTTCAGACCGTTCTTCAGATCATGCAGGTACTGTATAGTGTGCCTTAGAATCAGGAGATGGGCCAACGGCGAAGGCTTTTATAACCGGGGAGGTGTAATATGTGGTTATTTGTTTCCGAGTTCACGAACAGACCTCTAGCACTGTATTTATGGATCATTGTTCCAGCGGAATGTCACTGTGTCATATAGAACCTGATATACAACTAAAACGTGTTGCAGCTATTATCGTTGCATGCACATCCTAGAGAGGTTTTGAGATTCGGCGTAGTCACCCTACTTGTACTAGGGTATTTGTAATGCGTGTTTGTGAACAGCCTGGATAATCACTTATGGAGCACCCTCGCAATGAAGCCAGCGATGCCTGTTCAAGTAGTAGTCAGCTTGGTAAATAGGGAAGCGTCCTCCCATGCACTCCACTTCCACCATAGCCCAGAAACACCACCATCTGTATGCGTAAACTTGAATATCCCAGTGCGGTAGTCAAATACCTCCAACATACAGTCGCGGAGCCAAGCATCTCGGTCCGAGGGAAGGAAGCTGAATTCGTGCTCTTTATGGAACCTTAAAAGGTACTTTTTATCGTCTCGGTGATTGAAAGAGACAGTAAGACCTGAGCTGGGGTCGTTGAGACGAATATTGAGAGTGGTCAGGAGATGGACGTTGCGATAACGGCCTTCGTATGCTTCAAGACTGCAGCAACCAGAGCTGCTATCTTCTTCCCCTCTTTGTGAATCTTCCCATAATGGGCGCAGGATGTAATCATCGAACCATCGCCGACTAAGCATGGCTTCCTTTTCAGCCAAGTCGACTATATCCACCCGAGGTTGCAGGTCGAATAGCTCCTGCGTCAGGATCCGTGCACACCAGTCAGCAGGATCACCATCGGTAGCTCCACTGGCAAGCACGATGATTGCACTAGATGTCTCAGGAAACGTGTATATGGCGGAATTGTAGCCAGGAGCTTTACCATTGTGCAGTATGACTCTGAGCGGTGGCGAATCCTTCCCTAGTATATAGCCAAGATGGTCGCCCGAGCGGCGCGTTTCTTTGTTGAAGCTAATCATACCAAGGTTCGAGGATGGGAGAGTGAAGCTCAACCAGCCCAGGCAGTAATAGGTCGGATGACCTAGAGCGTCATCGAAAGGGTGTGGGTAGTGGCCATGGCGGATGGTTGCTACTTGACGCAGTGGGTT